AGAGAGGGGGGGGGAAGAGAGAGAGAAAGAGAAAGAGATATAGATAGATAGATAGATAGATAGATAGATAGATAGATAGAGAGATAGATAGATAGATAGATAGAGAGAGAGTGAGAGAGAGAGAGAGAGAGAGAGAGAGAGAGAGAGAGAGAGAGAGAATACAACTCATAATATGCCATAAAATGAGCAAATTTGTGTTTCTATTTTGTGTATAAAGGTTCCAAAACTGACACAACACTGCCATTAGTCTTCTGCCCGAACATAAATATATAAATCAGATGTGTCCGATATGTCTTTAACTAACTGAAGTCGCAGTTCGAACGCATAACTGCGTTATCAATATACTTTTCCCAATTCTGTCATCTTTTTTCTGAAACTTAAAAAATCAAGCACCAGCATGTATACTATAAAAAAAAGTTCAATTTCGTGTTTTTGGTTTGTTTAGTATGTAGGTTGAAAAAGGACCACAACATTGCCGGAAGTGCAGTCTTTCTTTTCAGACATAAGGTAAATCAAAACAACGTTATAAAATATCATGTGTTGGAAACGTCTTTAAAGAGTTAACCCAGATGTGCCGGTACGTTGTACGAACATCTCACTTGACGCCATCGCCGTCGCATCATAGCCGCATGTTATCTTCGCGCGCCGTCGCGGGCTGGTACAGAACTGATAGTGATATGTGGGACAATCCTACAGTGAAAGCTTACCGTGCTGATTTAACCCCTTCAAGAGACGAGACAGGCAGAGAAATGAAGAAGTAAGAGAAGCTATTGGCATTGAGTCCTGCCTGTATTTCATAGAAAGATAGAGAATATAATGGTTTGCCCACCTCTTACGTATGTCACCTAGCCAGCCAGCCTCAAGAGCCTTTACTACCAAGCACTGAGGCTATAAAGGAAGAGGAAGGCCACGCAAAATGTGGGTTGAGGGTGTCAAGGAAAACCTGAGAAATTATAACATCCCAACTGAAAGAGCTGCAGAGCTGGTCTACCATAGAAAACTGCATCTCCCCATGACGCTTTATGTCAACAGAGGATGAAAAAGTAAAGTAAAAGTAAGTACTGCCCGGTCCAAGAATGTCTCGTGCTGTTTGAATGAATTGAAGAGCAGGCCTGGCAGTGAATGAGTTAATCCAACGAACCGACCTGAAATGGAGTGGGTGGGTTGAGTTTAGGAAATGAGTGTGATTATTTCATTAATAAAAAATACCTTTGTGGTTGCTCATTTGATTCACCCTTTTTTTACACCCTGAGACGTTGTGGATATTGAGGAGAAAAAAGAAGAAAACAGAACAAATAGAATTGGGTTTGATTGTGTCAGATATGATAACAGTTTCAGCAAAGATCATACGAGAAAGAGAGAGAGAGAGAGAGAGAGAGAGAGAGAGAGAGAGAGAGACA